TATGGTAGTGTTTTACTGACGAATATTAATCCTGAGACCAGTTTCCGAACTGGTCTAAAATGCACCGAAATCAATTTTTCTTCGCATACTAGTAACAAACGTAATATCTTCTGAGCATCATCGTTAAAAAAACAGTCACTAAAGGTGGCTTTGTGGTTCCTCAATTGCTGCAGGACATGAGGTTTGTGACTTTCTTTTTATTTACTTCAGAATAATGGATTAATATATTTACTACTCGTTAGTAGTGTGACGTAAAATTACCATTTCCGCCGGTCACACGGACGAACCATCACACCTGTGAACGAACCATCAGTGGCTCTCACCACATGGGTTTCAGACGGTATTAGACCATCTGGTACTCGTCATTTGTATTATTCCCTAATTATTCGTATTCGGATAAACCTCAAATAATTTTGATCCGTTGATTATTTTAAAATAAAACACTGGTGACAGAAATGCGTGATACGTTTGGGACCGAGTTGCAGTTGACTCAAACACATTTTGGCATCTAACATTTCTTCGATGCCCTGTGAGTATGGCAGCTAAGTCAAGCTGATGGAAATTGTCTCCAGAGTAGTTTGGTGCTGGTATCAAAATCTTTATGTTAGCTGNNCTCACAGAAAGTTAATAGAATTATTTTAGTGACCGACGCTGGGCATTTGACGGCAGTCTTGTCCTTGTGGAGACTCATCAGAAGTGTGTAGATTTATCAGTCTCCCAATCAACCTGTCAGCGGCTTCCCACATAGATAGCGGGGCTTGATATTTAGTTTTCTATCCCTTCGTGTGGAAGCGCTGTGTTTTCGCAGAGATCAGAAAGTTTCTAATTGGGAAACATCCCTCCGAATAAGATGTAGTTACTCATATGTGTCCCTTACCGCAAAATATGATTCAAACTCGGCTGCTGTCGGAGAGTGGACTCCTTTAAAAGGCTCTTCATCACTTTTGTATCCATCGGTAGATTAAACAATGTTTTTAGATTACTNTTTGAACAAGGTTTTTCATGACATAGATACCTGCAGTCTTTTATTTGCATGATAGTATGCAATCGGATATGTGCGAAAAATCGGCATCTTTATTTGCAAGTTGAAAGTTCTGAATGTTTAAAAAAACACACGTTCATAATAGACGAACGGTGAATTACTTAATCTCCGAAGGGGTTGTGACAGTGGTTCGTTACAGAACTCCACTCGATTGCGAATCGCCCTCGCACCACGAGTTAACTACACCATTGCTTTTTTTGGAATATGGTAATATTGACCAAAGAATGAGTGGCCTGAAAATTACGGCGTCCATAAGTTTGAATCTATTTGTAGGGGTTTTTTTTTTTTGGGGGGGGGGG